AATGTAACACCCACTTTTCACTATTTATGTTATGAGTCCCATGTAATAGGGGGTGAGCCTATTGCCATATACCGGGCACAATTCCAGACTCCGTGCTACTACTGAGAATTTTTTAAAAACCCAGAAATACTTTGCCCGACACAAGAATCGAACCCGAGACCCCTTACCCAGCAGTCGCACTTGCGACCACTCGGCCAGCGAGGCAGTCGAATACTAAACAGTATAAATTATTTCGTTACAAAAGTAGCATACTCGTACCTATAGTGACTAGGTAGCTATGTAGGTGTATCAAGTTTCCCTACACACATAGTTCCTCTCAGAAAATGCTTCTCACCTTGAGATAATGCTTCCATCACCAATGACATTCGCTTTTCTCGACGAAGAAAAATGACTTGAAATTTTCCCGTTCCTACCCACGTTGCCTGTAATTGGGCCCTCGCGACCGATTACTGGGACCAGAGTGGTTTGGGACAATTTGGAATAGCATTTAACGTTATTAGTGGACGTCTGGTATTGGAATTTCAACAGTATTTTTTAAGTTTAAGACATGATTTGATACTATAGTCAGATGCTGGTTTTTTCGTGTGCCACAGATGCACTAATTTAAGAAGTAGACGTTCATCATGTTAGTCTGGCCTCTTTTTACCCGATTGAAGGAGGGTATTGTTTTTATATAAAGTTTAGCTTAGTTATCATTTTATTGCGACCATTATTGTGATTGGAAATGAGACTAAAAAATTCTAAACACAACTTTACAATTCTTTCCGCTATGAAGCGAAAACTCGTGTCATGTAGAGGATCTTTGTATTGATACCAAAAAAATCTTGAACACAGTTCAATTACAACACCATCACGACATGTCATCTATCATAAACATCTTTCATTCGGTAACTAAATCAAAACATACTCGTACAAACAACCGGTGCCACCCTCCCAATTCCTGCGCGATATAAAACCGTTGCTATCTGCCCCGCAAATATTGCGTGTCGTGTGACAAATGGATAGACAAATGGTCGGCTATAACCGTCTCGACGGCTATAAACGTTCCCGAGGCTATACCCGCGGCTATGTCACCGCCTATCCGGATATATTTCTACCCGCAGACTCGTCTTTGAAGATAGGATGGTTAGATTTTTGCATGTAATAAATTCTGATGTTTACATTAATAAAAAATCGAATGCGTAATTTGTACTTCTAGGACATGTTGAATAATTATTTATGAAATATACTAGTTTTATTATTCTATGGAATGTTCCTGTACCATTACGTAGTGACAAGTGACCAGTATGAAGGAATTGGTGTCTAAAAAGTAGATTAGGGAATATAAGCAAAAATTAAGTTCTAAAATCTTACAGAACATACCACAAAATTGTTATTGGCCAAACATTTTGAAGCAATTAAATCTTGAATAAAAACAATACCCTATCACCACAATCATAAAGTTGAAGTTCGCATCAAAACCTGTCCAATTACCCTAAACTCGATCTTAACGTTCAATCCTCAGGAGAAAGGTCCAAACATCCGCGGAAACTAACAAACTACATCAAACTGATGGCAAGAACAAACTAACTTAGAAATTGGCGGGAATTAAACGCATGCGTGTAATGATTCTCATTAAATGATCATCGTTAGCAAAGAGGTCGGGCATTAAGAATGATTGCCTCCTTACAGAGATTCCGCCATTTTGATTATAATAGTCTTTGGTCTTTGGCTTAGTCTTTGGTATGGTAATTTCAAACTCCGAATATCTTGGTTTTGTTTGTAAGAAACAATAGTTTAGAATTAATGGGGTTTTGATGAAAGTACTTATAAGTTATTCTAAAAAATATAGTTCCAAATATAACCTTAAAATAGAAAGAAGGGTTTGCTTTGTAAGTTTACTGCTTTTATAGTTATAAATAAAAGCTTTTTGATTATTCATGGTCCTGACAATAATAAATATGAAAAAATGTGATGTTCATAGCGCAGCAAAACAAAAAATGAGGAATTTAATAAAAGGTCTTCATAGAGAAAATTAATATCAGGGTTCTAGTTGTTAAATTCTACATAAATAAACTGCATTTTATACTTACGTTAAATTCTGCTTTGTAAAGCAAATAAAAAATGCATAACATAAACCAAAAAAAGAATGCGGAACGCCATAAACAAAACATTCTCGTGATGTTCTAATTTTTAAAATTTGACGTCGGTTTTTTTTGTTACACCAGTTTGTGACAGTTTGACATCCAGCCTTTTTGCATTCGAAATTTGAATTGTGGAATACAGAAACATTAGAAATTCGAAACGTGGAAGGAATATTAAGGCTAATAATCACCCCATAAAATTAACCAGTTTAATATGTTTTATGAAATGTCATGGAATTTATGAGCGTGTGTATGGGCCCCATAACGCTAGAAGGTCAGTTTTCCTAATAAAATGTAAGTAAAGAGCTGGAGCGACCACAATAGGGTGTAACACGTTTCATAATCCTAGCAATAACTGCGTTTATGGGGCTGGCAACATGGCGTTTATGTTTTAGTGTAACCAGACTATGAGTTAGGAAATACAATAATAATAGGGTAGGTACCTACGTTTACATACGGTTCCAAATTCAACTTTTATTATAATTATTATATTGTTTTTTGATAACAGACGAATAAGTATGTTAGTTTAGTTCCCTTAATAATGAGTGTTAATTTATCTTATTTAGTGCAATGTTCTCAGTTTAGGATAATAATTAATTATTGTTTTAAATATAGATGATCTCTCTTTCCCATATTTCATAGGATATAGATCGAGAAGTTCATAATGGAATTGGCTTAAAATCTTGCAAGACTCGTGCCACTGCGGCGGAACCTTCAAAAACAGGAAAAGATAAATAGTAAGATAATAAAATATATTGCAAAAGTTCCCTGAAGGGCTCGGCAAGCCGACCGGAATGTTTTACACTTTGTGAACTTATTTAAACGAGATATTTGCTTGATTTATGTGTATCGATGTATGTTCGTTACCATAACTTCGATGTAAGCCGATCGGTTCGATGTATACAGTAAGTTTTAATAAACAAGACAACCCTGAAATGTGAATCTACATAACATAAAAACACACATCATAAGTGTGGGAGAGTCATGCTTCGGCACGAATGGGCCGGTTCGATCGGAGTGATACCACGGCCTCACAGAAAACCGACGTGAAGCAACGCTTGCGTTGTGTTTCGTCATGTGAGTGAGGTTACCGGAGGCCCGATTACCCTCCCCTTCCCCAATCTCCCCATTTCCTGAATCCCCAACGATCCTCAAACTCCTAATTCCCAAAAGGCCGCTAACGCACTTGTAACGCCTCTGGTGTTCCAGGTGTCCATGGGCGACGCCGATTGCTTACCATTGGGTGATCCGTTTGCCAGTTTACCGGCTTATGCCATAAAAAAAAAATCACGGCTTTTATCCCGAAGGGGTAGGCAGAGGCGCACATTATGCCATTGTACAATGTAACACCCACTTTTCACTATTTATATTATGAGTCACATGTAATAGGGGGTGAGCCTACTGCCATATACCGGGCACAATTCCAGACTCCGTGTTACTACTGAGTATTAAAAACCCAGTAATACTTTGCCCGACACGGGAATCAAACCCGAGACCCCTTGCTCAGCAGTCGCACTTGCGACCACTCGGCCAACAAGGTAGTCAAATGTGAATCTATCTACTTCTTTTAACAATTATTGTTCATCGGTGACAGTTGTGATAATAGATTCATTGTAATAAGGGATGTACTAAATACCAATTACAATTATACGTTACAAACATATAGCTTGTGGAGCTGACTGATGATACGGCAGAGCAGAGGGCCAAGCACGAATAACTATCGCATTCGTATCGTAACAGTATCGAGCGAGTTAAGCGTTCTGATTGGTTAGTTCACTTGAGCTGGCCAATCAGAGCGCCGAACGCGCTCGATACCATTACGTTACGAATGCGATAGTTATTTGTGCTTGTGCACCAGGTCATGGACTGAGAAGCGCAGCAGAAGACATCCATTCACAAAGTATACAGACGACATAATATAGATCACAGGGAGCGGCAGAATGAAGGACACCCTGAACCGATTGACTAAGACGCGGTTGATATGATAATGTGAGTCACAATTTTTTACTCTTTGTTACGGCCGTAAAAAGGTAAAGTACATTTTTTACAGATATATTATTACTTGTGTAAAATACAAACATAATATACATATCTATTCTATTCAATAAATACTTGGGTTATTCTCATTTTGCAGAAGTCCAGTTGGGAAGTACGGAATATGAAAATTAACGACAAAATGTTATCAACAAATCAAGTTGTGAACAGGGCTGTATTTACAGCAGGATCGAGTGGGAACAAAGTATTCTCTTTATTAGCTAGAATTTCTTTTAATTTCATCATCGTCCATATGAACAGCTGTTACAGTTCACCATTGGACTATGGGAGCTAAGGACCTCCTCAAGCCTAACATTTTTTTTCACTCAGCGGGTGAGACGGAGATCGCAATTTTTGTTTATTGCGAATTCAACGACCAGAACCAGACTCGAGGGTACGGTCATCGCGACTGCAGAGCAGGACTAGGAACGTTACAATCACTCCATTTCGCCTTGCCCGGACGGGAGAAGTCATTGGATTATTCTCGCTCAAAAAAATTAGGCATGTTGATTTATTATACGCTTTTTTCCAATGTCCAATAAAGCAAGTACCTAAATTCATATAAAAATAATGTTTATTGATCTTGGTTAAAACCTAGGTTTTATTAAAATACTTTTAGCTTCAAATACTTAAAAATCTTACAAAGTATATTACCGCTTGTTGCTACCTTAACTATGTATTTAGTTACATACATGGTTGAAAAATTAATCAGAGCATCAATTTATTCATTGTCAAGGTCTGCAAGTGTGACCCTGTGTTTATCTGCAGGACATTGCCGGGAGCGAATGATAACATGTTCTATATAAAGTAATATTAAATTGCCAGTATTGCACTTCAAGTTCATCGTCGAAAGGACATGGCAGTCAAGGTAAGCGTCTAACTAAGATTTTTATTGTTGGCTATGACTGACAAATAGCCTGAATACTTTTAAGAATTTCATTTTTTGTGGTCAATTTGTAATAATCAATTCACTTAGTCCTACAAAAATTCGTTTGGTCAATTTTTAATAGGATCTATAGTTTGTAGGTAGGTACTTACGGTAAATTGTTTATATGTAGATTATGTTTGTACAGATAATAGGTAACTTAATAATAAGGATGTTTTCTTGACTGGCAATGTACTTAGAATTCGAACACAACAATAATTATGTCAAACCTTCACATGCCTACTTTTGTATGTTTAAAAATGTACAAATATCTAAGCGTTTAATTTCTATCCTTACGGAAATTGCCCTAATGGGCAGACGTGATAACGACTTTTTGCCATTTATCTTAATACACATAAACTGAGATGAACTAATAATATACAAAGACTGCCTCGTTGGCCGAGTGGTCGGGTAAAGCATTACTGGGTTTTTAAATAATTCTCAGTAGTAGCACGAAGTCTGGAATTGTGCTCGGTATATGGCAATAGGCTCACCCCCTATTACATGGGAATCGAAACATAAATAGTGAAAAGTGGGTGTTACATTGTACAGTGGTATAATGTGCACCTCTGCCTACACCTTCGGGGATAAATGGCGTGATGTTATGTTTTGTTCTTAATACACTGCTATAAACAGAGAATTAACAATTCCAGATTTAAATATTTTCTTATACTTTTCTTATTTTCGGAAATTTTTGATGGGCGATATGGAAATTGGATGCGAATTTACCCTATTTAATAGAACTATCCATTTTTTTTAGAATAATAATAACTTTTGTCCACAGATTGCTTATTTGTTATTGGCCTTGGCGGCAACATGCTCCGGTACCGGTAAGTGATATTTCATTTTATTTTTATATTATTATTTGTTTAATTTTATAATCTACGTATCTATTAAAACTCATGTAAGTAGACAATAACCAAAAAGTTCTACTTATTAAATTACTACCTACTTCTGCGCGTTTTCTGCTAGGCGCCTAATGATCGCTGCGTAATGTTTTATCCCCTTCAAACTTTCTCGATAAATGGACTATCCAATACAAAAAGAATTATTCAAATTGAAGCAGTAGTTCCGTAGATTAGCGCGTACAAACAAACAAACTAACTCTTCAGTTTTATATAATAGTATAAGATATGATATGATAAGATGTTAGCAACTTTATAAACAATTTTTGTCATATTATTTCTTTGACCATCGATAAAAAAAAATCCTTCCCTGTAGTACTTACTGGTTTTATCAACAAAAAATACTAATGTAAATCTCCCATTTTTGCAGGTCCACAAAAATTTGGAACTGATGACAGCCTAAGTGGACTAGTAGAAGGGACATCATCACACAATGTCGTTCCTGAACCGCGCGTGAAATTGGTACCATTAATTCGTTCCCAACGTTCAGTTGATTTCAACCAGATCCACACACATGTCGGTTCTGGCTTTCGTAGGAACTTCAGAAGAAGTGGAGCGTCTGGTCAGTTCGGTCAAGCTGGATCTTCGCCTCGGAATGGATTCGTAAACTCTGGTTATTCTGGGGGTTTTAATAATGCTGGTCAATATGGAAATAATCAAGGTGCTTCCGTCCCAAATGGATTTGTGGGATCTGTTAATCAAGGATATGGTCATACTGGTGGATTCAGAAACCCTTTAAATCCGGGTGGATTTAGAAGCCCAATAAGTCCCAGTGGTTTCATGCCAGTTGGTGGATTTAGGAACCAAGTTAATCCAGTTGGCTTCGTACCAGGGGGTATACGGCCAAGTGGATTCATCAATGCTGTTAATCCAGGCGGGAACATGCCAGGAGGTATACAACAAGGCGGATTTAGGAATCCTATCAATCCAGTAGGTTTTGTACCAAGGGGTATTCAACCAGGTGGATTTAGAAACCCTATTAACCCAAGTGGTTTCGTACCTGGAAGTGTGCCCCAGGCTAGATTCGGAAACGCAGAATACGCACCAGGATTCAATAACCGACTTGGTAATAGGAATCAACAACCACATGCTATGAATAACGGAGGTATTGCTGGTCAAGGCCAAGGTATGGAAATTTATCCTGATGGATCTGTAGGAGTTAGAGTGTCAGCTGTTAATGAAACTGATGAAGGTACAGTCCATACTGTTGTAAATGTCGTTGTGGTACCACACAAAGAGCAGAATAATGGACTTCAGAATAGAAGAAATCAGGAACATGGTAATCAAACTCCTTTACTGGAACATAAAAAGATCGTCACTGAAGCGCAGAAAATCTTAGATGGAATATTGAAAAAGCCTGAAAATGAAGAACCAGAATCAGCCGCCCAACGAGTTGTTGAAAAAGATATTGAATAACTAAGTTGTTTAGGAAATGTTATAGGTTATAATCAGACGATTGCTTGTCTGTACATTTCAATATGTTTGATGTTTCAGTTATTATTGTGTAAACCATCCTTAATTGTACTTATTCTTTGACTGTAATCACGATTTATATCTGCTGATTTATCGGATTTTCTTGTATAGCGCTATATGAAGTTAATAAAGTCAATACTGCCCGAGTCGACAGTTATTTTCGGAAATAGTAATTTTACCAATTCTTTGATGGTAAAATTGCTTTCTTTACATTGAATGAGATACCTAATAACTACCTACCTAAGAATAAGATAAACCAGCGATGCCATTTCCTAGTTCAGACGCAAAATTCCAGGAAACCAATCGCGTGGCTCTTACAACCAAGTACACCTTAGGGGACAAAATATGTCCACGACATTTATCGAAGCCAGCCGACTTCGCCTGACATATATACATATATTTTTTTCATGGGACAAACCCGCCACAACCTCCTAAAACCGCTGCAACTCCTGTAAGCCAGGATCTACAGTAGATACAACCATGAAAACACCGGAACACTGAAGTCCGGTGCGTCCCAGGGACATGAGTAACTGTCTTGGTTCCCGCAACGAAGTGAATCGCCTGACATGGCCATGGCGACAACGCGCGAGGAGAAGACTTGTGTCGCGCTGTGTTGCCAGACATGTCAACCAAAATTCAGCAACGTCGCTCTACTTCACCTAACGTTGCTGGCGACACGTGTCAAAGGACATTTGTTCCCTAGTGTATGTATCCTTGGCTTTACTCACAGAGTATCATCTGAGTAACTTTAAATTGACACGGAATTTGGTAACCCCCTAATTTTCCTGTTGATGGTTATTCCAAAGATTCTCAGAACAAATGATGATATATAATTTGAGTTTTTGATGTCATTTTCTAAGAAGATGAAGTATTGAGAGCATTCATGTTGTGTTTGTAAACAAAATATTGTACTGGTCACTCTGATAGATAACAGTATTGTTATTGTTTATAGCTATAGTAACATAGGATGTATGTTTATCTGTTCAGAGAACATCTCGGTGGGGTCAGACGCACAAATTGTTAGTGATAACAAGATATATATATAAGGTAATGTTTTAAAACTACTGAGCATACACTTCAGAATTATCGTCGTCTAAAGTTAATCCTAATATTTCTACAAGATGGCTTTCAAAGTGAGTATTTTTTTTTAATATTAATATATTTTAATGAAATAAAATATTTGTGGTGAATCAAATGTTAAAAAAAGTATTAACTACTCGTAATATTCGTTGTAGCTTGAATTTAACGTAAATACGGACTCTATATAGAGGTAGAATATATATTTTTGTAACATTATGCTATTTACTGTACATTACGAATTTTACTTTTGCAATTTTATTTTTAATAGGTTTTTTTGCTGATGGTGTTTACTTTATAATAATACTAATTCTAAAAATGTTATTTTTTCTTCCAGCTCGCTTGCTTAGTCTTGGCGTTGGCAGTAACCTGTTACGGTAAGTTGTTGAATATTTACTTTTATTCATACCAATTAAGTACCTCCATATTCCGTTACGATAAATGATTTTAATTTAATTATTTAAGCCTCGTTAGGGAATGGTCGCAAAAGCGATATTAAGTCAGGGATATGAGATTTAAATCCCAGGTTGGGCAAGTTACTGTGGGACTTATACTTATCGCATTACTCAAAATTCTTATTAACTACTGAAAATTTTAAAACTGAGAGATCTTTTAATGGACTCTGAATTTATCGTTTTTTTAAACTATTGTTTTTTTTTCTCTATTCTGGTTCAAGACAGTTATTCATGTCCCTGGGTCGCGGACTTCAGAGTTTCGGTGTTTTCATGGTTGTATCTACTGTAGATCCTGGCTTACAGGAGTTGCATCGGTTTTGGGATATTTTGGAGGGTTTGTCCAATAAAAAAGGACTCTGATTTGTAATAGAAACAGGGATCTTCTTTTATGAATACAAACAACTACATACCTACTTATTGAAAACTAGCTACTTCCGCGCGGTTTTACACGCTACGCTCAGCTCCTATTGCATTGTCGTAGCGTGATATTTTATAGCCTATAACCATCCTCGATAAATGCGCTATCCAACAGAAAAATAATTATTCAAATCAGACTTGTAGTTACGGAGATTAGCGCGTTCAAACAAACAAACAAACAAAAAAACAAACTCTTCCGCTTTACACAATAGTACTAGCTACTTCCGCGCGGTTTTACACGCTCTGCTCAGCTCCTATTGCATTGTCGTAGCGTGATATTTTATAGCCTATAACCATCCTCGATAAATGCGCTATCCAACACAAAAATAATTATTCAAATCAGACTTCTAGTTACGGAGATTAGCGCGTACAAACAAACAAACAAATAAACAAACTCTTCCGCTTTACATAATAGTACTAGCTACTTCCGCGCGGTTTCACACGCTCTGCTCAGCTCCTATTGCATTGCCGTAGCGTGATATTTTATAGCCTACAGCTATCCTCGATAAATGCGTTATCCAACACAAAAAGAATTATTCAAATCAGACTTGTAGTTGCGGAGATTAGCGCGTTCAAACAAACAAACAAAAAAACAAACTCTTCCGCTTTACATAATAGTATAAGATTTGGTTCCACAATTTATTTATCGCTAAAAAACCTTAATTTATTTGCACTGGACATCACGTGAAATTGATTTCCCAAATGATAAAATTCACGTGTCTATAAAAGAGATACATTTCATCATGTTAAACATAAATAAATACAATTTCCACTCGAAATGTAAACATCTTTGAACATAAAGTTTGATAACATTAATAGCTCTTCCGATTATAGTTTAATTAATTGATTTTATAAACAATTGTGATAATATAATCGAGTAACAAGTTGTTAGTATTAAAATATTGTTATTATATATTAAACTCAGTGCAGAAGTACTAAAAATACCATTATTTATCAACTCGAGAAAGTAAAGATTTCATCTTTTAGTTTAATTTAATATACTTATATAACATAACACCTTTTATCACACTTTTTATCCCCAAAGGGTTAGACAGAGGTGCACATTACGGCACTTAATGCCACTGTATACAATATAACACCCACTTTTCATTTCCACAATTTATGTTATAAGTCCCATGTAATAGGAGGTTAGCCTATTGCCATATACCGAGCACAATTCCAGACTCCGTGCTACTACTGAGAATTAGTTTAATAGCCAGTAATACTTTGCCTGACCTGGGAATCGAACCCGAGACACCTTGCCGCTCGCACTTGCGACCACTCGGCCAACGAGGCATACTATTTAATATAATACATCTTAGTCTTCGCCTTCAATAAATAAGTAGAAATAGAGCAGATATTGACCCGAAGTATCAAGTGATGAAGTATGATGAAATATTAGTAACGTTTAATAAGAAATAACTATTATCTATTCATAACTTATGGACAAGACTCGTCGTTGACTGTTGAAGATTATTTAGTTAATAGGTATTATATGCTTATGCTGTATTCTTATAGTATTAGCAGAGTTTTTTTACTTATGCATAGGCGAAATAGACTCCACATAAATAAATACAATATTTTGACACTGAAAATATTTCTTTTTATTATTCTCATTAAATACTGGCTACTTCCGCGCAGTTTCACACGCTCTGCTCAGCTCCTATTGGCGTGATGTTTTATAGCCTATAGCCACCCTTGATAAATGCGCTATCCAACATAAAATAATTATTCAAATCAGACTTGTAGTTACGGAGATTAGCGCGTTCAAACAAACAAACAAAAAAACAAACTCTTCCGCTTTATATAATAGTATATAAGTATAAGATTGCTTATTTCAATTTACAGGCATTCCCCACTACGGTGGCGGTGGATACGGCGGTTCCCAGGGTGGTTACGGTGGCAATCAGGGCGGTTTCGGAGGTAATCAGGGTGGTCACGGCAACCATGGCGGTTACGGGGGCGGTCAAGGCGGCTACCCCAGCAACCAAGGCGGTTACGGCGGTCAAGGCGGTTTTGGTCAGGGAGGTTTCGGAGCCCAAGGTTTCCCACAACCTGGTTCTAACATTCCTCAAGGCGCTGTAGGACCTAACGGAGGCTTTGGTCAAGGACCACAGGGTGGCTTCGGAGGTCATAACAACAATGGATTCGGAGCTACTGGTGGTTTCGGAGGGTCTGGACCTAACAACGCTTATGGATCTGGTGGCCACAGCTCTGGCAGCCATGGTCATGGACACCACGGTCACCACGGAGGTTATCAAGAACATGGATACTAAATTTTTGTTTGATTTGTACATATTGTGCATTTTGTGTAAATAATTTAATTATAAGTCTAAGGAAGAAGATTGTTTTCTTTTTATATTTTACGAACATCTGTCCTCAACTTTGTGCTGGTCCTGTACCCTGATTTTCGATTTCAAACATAAAATTAAAAATTATAACTAAGTCCAGGTTTCCTTACGATCTTTTCCTTCACCGTTTGTCACTGGTGTCTAGATAATCTTACAAATACATAGTTATAACTCGGAAAAAATCACATTGGTACTTGCCATCGGTGGGTTTCGAACCCGCATCCTAATCCATGAGAACCGGGCGGTCTTAAGCTCCTGACCACCACGACATTACATTCAAAATATTTATAAATATGTACTAAGTATTACGAAATCCTCGTGAAATATTAAGGTTATCGTTAACTGATAACTCGGAAGGTATAAAAGTGTAATGAGGATGAGTCAGTGTGGAAATAAACTTTATTTTGGTAAACAAAAATAGGTAAACAACCTTTTTGGGTTCTATTGCTGACTGCTCTGGTTTCTATTGCTGTCTCAGGTTCCATTCATGAGTACCATCAGTTCAAGGTTTCTCTCAGATCAAAAACAAATGAAAGTAGAAACTTGAAATAACATAAAAATAGAGAGCGAGGCATATACACGGTACCGTCTTTACCATAAGGGCACTCGGGGCCCGTGCCCAGGGCCCCCTTACTAAGGGGGGGCCCAGTAAGACCGACAATGCGGTATTTTTAAAATAATTAAATTCAATACTTTTATCGAAGCTTCAAAAACGACATATTTCTATAATTTTTGTACCAAAAACTAACCTTGTTACTTATTTAATTTACTTAAAAACTAACTTATGACGTCATCATATATTCAAATCAAATAACACACTTATTTCTGAAATAATTGCTAGTATAAATCGAAAATTAAGGATATCGTCAAATATATGAATGAATTGTTATTATTTTTGAATATTTAATTGGATTGAAAAATCAAAATAATTTATTTTGATCCAGGAAAATACCCAATTTCTACGACGGACACACCCGCTATACATTGTACGGCAATCGAATGCCGCGCAACTTGTAGTGCACATTCTTGCACGAAGCAAATGCCTGCTGTGTGCATGCATGTGGGCTCCACAAATTGTTCTTTAAGTTCTGGATTAAAAAAAAAACATTTAAAAGGGTCCCGAATTATCGTGGGTGCAAGGGCCCCAGCGTAGTCTAAGACGGCCCTGATTATACACCAGTTCAACTTCAGAATACAATTGTTGGTGCATACAGAGACCAGCATATCAAAATACATAATTTACCTTTCTACTGAGACATTTGCTGACATTTCCTTTAGTGATAGATTGAGGCAGCTGTACATGATGCCTCAATATTACCCACATTTTTAACCCCATCCCACAGGAAACACTCTAGTGTTAAAATGAAAACAGTACGTCTTTGTCCCAACACATAGTTAGTCTTGTGTTATGCACGAACTAACAAAGCACTTCAGTATGAACCTCCAGCGTAACTTGACCTCTTCCCCCTCCTCCAATGCTTAAACAACAGATGATCAACGGGAAATTGCTGTGTTACTACAGGTCAGAGTAAAATGGACCGTTTTCGGTTCGTCTAGTATGCATTGCCCGACTGACAATCTTATTTCAAAAACGTTTGGTCAACTTTGAGTGTCTAATACAAATGAATTGTTTATTTTCGTATTTTGTGATTTTGGTATTTTTTGGGTACATTGCTTTTGAAAATAGTTTTTATATTAACTAGAAATTACTATTGTTAGACTGCTTCGTTGTGACCGAGTGACTGCCTCGTTGGCCGAGTGGTCGCAAGTACGACTGCCGGACAAGAGGTCTCGGGTTCGATTCCCGGGTCGGGCAAATTATTACTGGGTTTTTAAAAAAAAACCTCAGAAGTGGCACGGAATCTGGAAATGTGCTCGGTATATGGCTCACCCCCTATTACATGGGACTTATAACATAAATAGTGAAAAGTGGGTGCTACATTGTACAGTGGCATTAAGTGCCGTAATTTGTACCTCTGCCTAGCCCTTCGGGGGTAAAGGGCATGATGTTATTATGTACTATTGTTAAACAACTGTTTATATAGTTATTAAGTTTGTGATGGAGCGATTTGTCCGCGATCGGCCATATTGTTCCTACACGCGAGTGTTACAAAATGTTTAATATAATTTTTTGACCCTGAATTGGCAAGACAAGCAGGCACGAGCCTGCATGTCGATGCTGCTGCGTTTAAAATCGATTTTGAAAAATATGTAAGTAGGTACACCAAAAACTAATTTAAATGTTGCACTGACTCTGACCATCTATGTACCAAAGTGAGTAATTACATTAGCTTTTGCCCAAAATATAATTATAAAGGATTTTACCCGTTTCGACGTCTGACTGATATTTTATGATACTTAGTTTCATATAGCACGAACCGCATCCGGCTGCAGCAAAAACGTTTTCAATGTTTGTGCCGGATTAGTGTTAAGCGCATATAATACTTACTACATACATATACATGTCTACGAAATGTTTAATAGGTTGGGAATTATCCAATTTTAAGGCGTTTTTCTAAATGTATTTAATAATAACATCGGATCTTTCATTTTAAAAATGACTGCAGGCAGACGTGTTGAGATATGGTTGACTCTCACTAATTGGAAGACGTTTTGAGTTCCATACCAGTTTTTTTTTTAAGGGGGGAAAATCATCTAATGACTGCACCCGCCTGGGTGAGGCGAAAAGGAGTGTCAAACTCTTACTGACTAAAAATCACCCCGTTCCTTCTCCTGCACTTCGAGCTGGAGCCCCGGTAACCCGTTAGGTTCTCCGCGACAGTTTCATACCAGTAGGAGTAGCTTTTATTGAACAACAACAATGCTTTCAGGCAATGTAGTACACAACTATGTACACCAAATTAATCATCATCATCAACAGCCTATAAATGCCCACTGCTGAGCAAAGCCTCTTCTCACACGGAGAAGGTTTGAGCATTAATTACCACGCTTGCTCAATTATGATAGGCGATGGCAATTGGCGATGGCAATTATGATTGGCGATTACAAACTTGTTTTTTATGCCATAAGCCGGTATACGAGCAGACGGATCACCTGATGGTAAGCAATCGACGTCGCCCATGGACACCTGGAACACCAGAGGCGTTACAAGTGTGTTACCGGCCTTTTAGGGATTAGGAGTTTGAGGATCTTGGGGATTCAGGTATTGGGGAGATTGGGAAGGGGAGGGTAATTGGGCCTCCGGTAACCTCACTCACACGACGAAACATAACGCAAGCGTTGCTTCACGTCGGTTTTCTGTAAGGCCGTGGTATCACTCCGGTCGAGTCGGCCCATTCGTGCCGAAGCATGGCTCTCCTACACTTATTTAACTTATTCTTATTGTGTGTCGTAGTAAAGTAAATGGTTTTTCTTTCTCTCTTTCTTTACTTATAATTAGAAATTATAAGAATTAGAAAGTGTAATTAGAAATTATTAGTCCAGGTTTCCTCACGATGTTTTCCTTGACCGTCTGTCAGTGGTGTGTAGATAATCTTAGAAAGTACATATAACTCGGAAAAAGTCACATTGGTACTTGCGAACCCGCACCCTCATGCATAAGAAGCGGGCGTCTTAAACCTCCGGGCCATCACGACAATACCACCGCACCACACCAAATTAATAAGGAAACCTAATCAACTTAAAATCAACCCTCTCTTTCACTCCTTAACATTAAAAATATCGCTTACTCTATTACTGACATACGTTTACACAATGTGTAATCATTTACCCTTTAAAGTAAATTACCGTAGTAATTGTTTCTCGTATCGTAAGCATTACGTCGCATTTTGTAATTACCGGTTACCGCCCGTAATTTTACGCAAATATTCGTGTTCTGTTTACCTTCGTAGGTATGTCGGTTAGCTTCGTAAATAGTGTAATTTGGCTTTAAATATGTGTTAACTTATTTCATATTGTCGTGTATCTTAGTGGTTAAGAGGTTGTAAAGATCGCTTTTGAGTATCTTGTCATTTGGTGAGCTTAAGTGTGTTTTATAATAACTATCGTGAGACATGCTAAATTAACTAAAAATCGCGGGTTACTTACATGGTTATACTGAGGAAAGCTCTACTAGTATCGAACCACAGAGGGGTTTCCTCATGAGCAGAGTGCGCGGTCGCGGCGATGTCGCACCGCCCGCACAGTTAATTTAGTTTAAGTTAGTTTAAGTGTGATTTCATCTTTTCGAATGACGATATTTTTTAAATAAATGATACCTCATACAAACTGGGTTTGTATGAGGTATCATTTATTTATAGCAGCCAGTTATTATACTTTAGCCAATGTAGCAAACGTGTTGTCAGTTGTTCCTTACGTTTCCAAAGACATAACAGACTAACCTATATATATTTAATCTTGAGGCTTTGCTCAGCAGTGGGCATTTATAAGCTGTTGATGATGATGATGATGATGATATATATTTAATCAGCACATATCATCATTCATCATTATCAACAGCCTATAAATGCCCACTGCAGAGCAAAGCCTCTTCTCACACGGAGAAGGTTTGAGCATTAATTCACCGCGCTTGCTCAATGCGGGTTGGCTATTTCAAACTTATAATAATAAATTATAAGCCCAGGTTTCCTCACGATGTTTTCCTTCACCGTTGGTTAATGGTGTCTAAATAATCTTAGAAAGTACATATAACTCGGAAAAAGTCACATTGGTAGATATTTGCCGTTGGTAGGTATCGAACCCAGACCCTCGCGCATGAGAAGCAGGCGAACAGGACAGGACATATGTACAATACTAACATAACCTTATGCCAAAAAATATGGAACACCAATTGTTTACATACTTCTTTCGCTTCATCAACAGTCATTAGTCTTTTGATCCATGCTCGTCGATTAAACTGTCAAACACCAAGCGGTCACCGGTGACCGCAACCTATTGTTCTATAATTGTGTCTACAAAACCGGTACTCGACGAGTTAAGTTTAATTTGGCTTTTCTTTAATATATCGTCAAAGTCAAAGCAATTATTTGAATTAG